AGACAAACATACTCCTGAACAGACGACTTGAAACAAGACAGCCCAGAGAGGTTAATGACCCGGACGGCAATCAAACACAAATACAGAACAGTCACGTGACCCAGATTCTTTGAAAGCAAAGGCTAATCGATAGTAGATGTCTGTGTTAAGGGAGGAAGGAGGCAGGGAGGGAGGGAGAGTGGGAGGGAGGGAGGGAGGGAGGGAGGGAGGGAGGGAGGGAGGGAGGGAGGGAGGGAGGGAGGGAGGGAGAGAGGGAGGGAAGGAGGGAGGGAAGAAGGAGGTGGGGCAGGAAGAGGGGAAGATAGGGAGGACGGGAGGGAGAGAGGAAGAGATGGAAAGAGGAAGTGAGAGAGAGAGAGAGAGAGAGAGAGAGAGAGAGAGAGAGAGAGAGAGAGAGAGAGAGAGAGAGAGAGAGAGAGAGAGAGAGAGAGAGAGAGAAAGAAGGAGATGGGATAGGGAGAGGGTAGGAAACACACACACACACATAGACAAACAAAGTAACAGGTCAAACGATCTACATTGTTTACATCACAGAACACACAGCAGGTGGGAAAGGAAGAGGAAAAGGGGAGGGGAGGGGGTAAGGGGAGGGGAAGGCTGAGAGGGGGGGGGAAGTGCTGCAACAAACCGGAAGTATCTCAAAAAACAATCACATCAAAAACAAAACAACAATAATAAAAAAAACAATCAAAGGTGCATCAGAGTGTTAACAACATGAGTTCAGTGGCTTGATTCACAAACAAACGTACAAACAAACAAACAAAGATACGCCTCATGATTTGTTAAATACCTATATCATAAATATAAAAGATTATTTTGCATAATGTTTAAGGTTTACTAAATTCTTATTCTTCATATATTCCTCTCTTAGAGAGAGAGAGAGAGAGAGAGAGAGAGAGAGAGAGAGAGAGAGAGAGAGAGAGAGAGAGAGAGAGAGAGAGAGAGAGAGAGAGAGAGAGAAGAGAAAGAGAGAGAGAGAAAGAGAGAGAGAGAGAGAGAGAGAGAGAGAGAGAGAGAGAGAGAGAGAGAGAGAGAGAGAGAGAGAGAGAGAGAGATTAGAATGACGAAATAAGAGGCCAAGGAAACAGGGTGAAAAAAGTCAAGGCGAAAGTGAGAAATGAGAGAAAACAGATAATGATGGCAAGGACAATAACAAAATGCGAAATAATAAATCCTGAATTTCGCAACAATGCATCTATGGCAACACCTGACTAACAACATCCTGACACCACTCGTTGGGACTGCAAGGACTAACCCAAATTCTGCCAACACCTTTCAGCTATGCCAAAATTACCAACAACAGACAGCATTTTATTAACCTAATTTGCTATATTGACAACATCTGGAATTATCATCAATTTACAAACTTGATGATCATTTGCATCCCTGACAACACTTTTTACCTGAATGCCAATCACTGACACCTGTTCTTCAAACGTGACAGCCTCTGACAACACCTATCATCCTAGCAACAATCTCTGACAACTAATGCCAACACATCACTCAAACCTAACACACCCGTCATTCATACTTGACAACCCCTAACAACAACTGCAATCGAATGCCTGACAACAACGTCTGACAACACATTTTAAGCTGCTATGCCTGACAAGCCGTGACAACACCGGTTATCGATGCCTGACAACCCGTAACAAAACCGGTTATAGATGCCTGACATGTGACAACACCGGCTATCGATGCCTGACAACCCGTGACAACACCGGTTATCGATACCTGAAAACCCGTGACAACACCGGTTATCGATGCCTGACAACCTGTGACAACACCGGTTATCGATGCCTGACAACCTGTGACAACACCGATTATCGATGCCTGACAATCCTCTGACAACACCTGTCATACTAAGAGATTCTAACAACACCTAGGATCTTACTCTGGGAGACCCTGACAACACCTGGGAGGGAAAGAGAAAGTTGGAAACTGCCTCCCACCAGCACCGCCCCGCCCCCCTTCGGTTATAAATTCCTTAGTGTACGTGTGTGTGTGTGTGCGTGTGCGTTTGTGTGTGTGTGACAGAGTGTAAGTGTGACTGAGAGAGAGAGAGAGAGAGAGAGAGAGAGAGAGAGAGAGAGAGAGAGAGAGAGAGAGAGAGAGAGAGAGAGAGAGAGTGTGTGTGTGTGTGTGTGTGTGTGTGTGTGTGTGTGTGTGTGTGTGTGTGTGTGTGTGTGTGTGTGTGCGTGCGTGCGTGTACATGTATGTATTGACGACCCACTCATGTAAATATTAATAAATGAATGAAAACTTACAAACATATTTAAGAGGCATTCTATCGCGTAGTATTAACTCACTGCATAAAAAGAAAAAAAAATCTCCACACACGAGGCTCAAACAGGTGTGCACAAGTCCTCGTCTGTTGTCACGCACGTATACGTACACAAGATACGCACACATGTACGCCTACGCCACGCCTGAAACCAGCTTGGGTTATGTTTCCACTCACGAGAGGTGGGGAAAAAAATATTTAAAAGGTTTTACTTAC